AGAGAGAGAGAGAGAGAGAGAGAGAGAGAGAGCTACATTCCTACCTGTTTTACCATTTACGGGAACACCATGGGTGTTACAAAGTTGACTAAATCATCCAAAATTCAATGAAGTGGTGATCAGCCATTTGATATGTTCAAATGTCTCCTGTGAAGGATATCATAAAGCCTTAATGCAATCGAATATAAAACTAAAAAAGCTATGATTGATGAAAGTAGTAAATCCGTCAGATTTGACCCGAACACAAACAGGAGGGTTAAGAACACATAGTAGGCAATTGAGCTTCTTCATAGACAACTTTCAGACTCATTGCATTAGGAAGAGCATATGTGTACATCATTGAATTAATAAAGGATAGTTTCCATGGTATTGTGCACGCTGTAACTGGAACACTTGAATAGGATGGAGCTGTTGCCATGGTAATTTATGACATCCGTGCTTATCCTAATATGACATATTGAGAAATGCACTGGCCACTGGACCAGAAGGCATTTATATGCAACATTTGTAAAATTTGCAACAAACTCAAAACTTAAATTATTTAACACATTGTAATACTTGAACTCTGAAGCAACATACAGAGATAAGGCTATTTCCACAGCAGTCCCCATGCAAGTGTTCCATACATATACATTACATACAACTAGCTATTGTTACCTGAGTCAGGTATTCTAACCCTGGTGGACATCCGGGTATTTCCTGGTTGGGCACAGGCACTTCATACATATCCATTTTGATGGACTTGAAGGGAGACCTGTCGATAAAAGCAGTGATTAAAGCTAAGATTTAGCGCCATCTTGTGCCTTTTTTTAGGGTGACACACGAGCCAATAAAACAAATAATAATAACTTTATTTAAACAGCACTTCTCAAAACAGTTACAAAGTACTATTAGACCTCATGTTCTGTTTGAGGTCAACCATCCCCACCCTGTAAGATGTACAACAATAGCAACAATGATAACATGGAGAAACGAAAGTGAAATAAAGAACACATGGATGCTCAGTCAAACCGAGCAGTGACATCATTAGGTAGGCCTACAGGCTTTAATAAAAACAACAGACTTGACCAAAGTGCTGCACATCAATAAATATATAAAAAGCAGCATACATATATTTAGACAAAACCGATAGGACAAAAGAAAACTAATGTAAAAGCACGAGACAATAAAACCATACGTATAGCAACCGACTGAACACCCTCATGCATGATGTAAAAACATTTAAAAACACAACAAAATAGAAAATAGAAAAAAAAACGATTGGATGGACATCAAGAAGCCCCCCTTGTTCTCATGTGGCCCGGCCCTTTTTGCGATGTAAGCACGGATTGAAGCTGGGAGGGGGCTGCAGAAGCACGGATAATCTCGGGTGTTTCTGGAAGCTTCAGACGGGAAGACCACCATTACAAATCCTCTTTCTAGGATTACGCGCAAACAACAGGCCTGAACCCACACAGGATGCACGGTTTATCTCCAATATGTAGCTCTCTCCTGACTGATGATACTGAGGGGTGGGATGTTTGCAAGCTATAAACGCGCACGCGGTGGATTTATAAGCGTAGTTGTCATTCAAACAACACGTCGAGTTGTTAAAATTGACGTCAACACTTCTTATTTTCCATAAAAACAGACTGGTGTTTTTAATCGGAATCAGAAATACTCACCGTTATTTCATGTGCTGCTCAGAATAATAACAGGCCACTCCGGAAACAAGCGTCTGGAATACAACGCTGATCTGATTGGTCGACATCATCCTACTTCCCTTTTACGTGCGCCAATGAGAAGCAAGGATTGTAGAATAGCGTTTAACAGAACAGAGGAGAGTATAGAGCTGAATATAATAGAACATATCTATCTATATTTAAGTCATATTGTGCATTTTTGTAATAGTTTGAAATACACAAAAGGAAAATGTTGCATTGGTTTATTCATTTACAGCAGTTATTTGTTTTTCCCTGGTGTTTCTGATTACACATCATTATTGTGCTTGTTTCAGACAAATGTATAGTAACATTAACAGACAACAAATATTCAACAGAAAAAACAACATAATTCATATTTTCCATCTTCTAGGCTCGATGTCAACAATAACATAACACTTTAAGACTTTAAAGGTTTACATAATTATCTCTAAGTCATACTACTGCATCAGAGCTAGTAACTATTCGTGTTTAATAATTAGAGTTGAGTAAAATAGACATGTATTGCCTTGGAAATGCCTTGGAAATGTAGTCAAGTGGAGGTATATGTAGCATAACTGACATTGCGATATGTGTTCCCCCTGCGATATATATTGCCGTATGAAAAAATACAGGAATTGAAGAAAAGTCAGGGTTTTTTTGTCCGCAAACCATCCTTTCTTGAACTTTAATGCTATAAAATTGGTATTTTTTTAACGATATTTAACCGGATGAAGGATTTTAGTCACGGACTTCTGGATCTTAAGTTATCAGAGCAACAAGCTGAGCTAACTCGGTTATCCTGCTGTGATCTGATCAAGAATGATTGTGATTGGTGGTTTGCTGTGCATGCAGAGCCTGTCACTCACTCAAGTACCCCTGACATGAGTGCCGTGCGAGTTTTCCTTTTGTAGCAAGCAGCAAAAAATAATTGTAACATGACGTGTTTGAGTTCATTTGCCTACTTAATATCGCACGTCCTAAAAAAAAAAATCCCAAAAATATCGCGCATGCGCATAACGCGATTATCGTCACGACACGATGTATCCAGCCCTAATATCAGATGTCAAACAGATATTTAGCTACATCTACTTTATTCTAGCAAATTGCATGTTATGGAAGACACAAGTGTTCCCATCCCTAGAAAAGAGGGTGAATTATTGTTCACAGATGTAAACACGGAGCTGTACTCCATGTCAGTCGGCTGCCCACAAGGACATGCAGTTTTGTGGGAGTTTGTTCCAGATATTTGGAGCCTAATAACTGAACGGTTTTGGGAGGTTCATCATGTAGCAGGAGGTCAGAATAAACCCTTCAGTGCTTTATAAACCAGAAGCTTCTTTAACAGACAGGAAGCCCGTGTTAGTGAGGACTCGAGCAGCAGCGTTCACAATCAGCTGCAGCTGTCTGGATCTTTTAGTGAGAGCTGTAAAGAAACTCTTACAGTCGATGAGTCTACTGAAGATAAATTCATGGACACGTTTTCCAAATCCTGCTGAAGTCATTTAACTGGATATATTCTCAAGGTGATAGTAGGCTCGTTAATTGTGTTAATGTGTTGAAATTCAGGTCATGACCTAGATATCTGAACTTTTTTCGTTTTGAGCAAGTGCAGACTTTTATTAGTTCCTCCTTGGCTCCAAAAACAATTACCTCTTTATTTAATTGAGCTGATTTTCCTTTGTTATGCTGTACTGCATGTATCATATTATATCAGAATAAGGGGTGGTTTCAGTAAGTTAAATTACAGACTTAATACGTTAGGAACACAGCTACGTTTTAACATTTTGAATTTTTACTAACACTTGACATTTTGAGTGTTATTT